ACATGGTAAAGCAGCGAGAATATTGCGATCGTTTCTATTTCTTTAGTTAGAGTGTTTGCTGTTTTTTTGGCGTGTTAATTTCTTTGCTTTCAACTTCTGAAGCCAGCAAAAAATAACTTAACGGTGGGTGTGTTCCTCTCGACGTCCCCGAGTAAGGATACAACATTCCGAAGCGATGCCGTATCATTTGCTGCGATTTCAAGCAAGAATGAAGCAGCCCCCGTTGACTGGCTCGCCTTACTTGTGGTACTTACGGATTTGGACGGCAATGAGAGCACAATCTTCGATAAACAGATCGAGAAAAGAAGTAGACCAATCCGATTAGGGGATTTAGGGGACTAATGCCAAATGGCGGCAGCGGCGGTGCCAGCGGTGGGGGCGGCGGCGGCACAAGGACGAGGGCAGAGCAAGAGGACGGCAGAGGCAGGGGGATAGGGATAGACACAAAAAACAACGCAGCAACAGACCATCCCAGTATTCCAGGTCCGTCACTGCGTCTGTGGTCCCAGCATAAAGCGTTTTGGCATTTGTAAGACTTGAATCTTTAGTGCAGATGTGCAGTATGAGTGATAGCGCCCTGCGTGAGTTCCTTGAAAGCAGTGATGCAAGAAAAGTGGCTTTAGAAAGTCGAAATTTCAATTTTCTTATACTGCCAGGTTCGATATAGAGCCGTTTTCGTCCCACAGACACAGGTCAGCACTATATTACCAATACAGGAAATGTTAGTATGGGTGGCCACCCATACTAGAATTGCCCTCCGAAAAGTTATCAAATTTTAATAAAGTTGTAGTATGGCTGGCCACCCATACAGCAAAATGAAATCTTGTCGCGCGACAACCGCACTACAATCACACCCAAATCACCCCCCAAAACATTACCAAAAATCACCCTAACGCAATGTATTACACGTGCGAACAGAAATGCTTTGTATGACACGTGGTGATCAAAACGCAATCTATAACACGTTACACTGTCGAACATTAATTAATGCATATTAGAAACACTATACATTTAACTATGATGTAATTAATGTCGAGCAGTACAGTACCATCATTAGAACAATGGTACTCCGAAACAACGCGTCCTTAGGACGCCATCCTGGAACATTACACTGTCGGACATTAATTAATGCCTATTATAAACACTATATATTTAGCTTTGATTTAATTAATGTCGAGCAGTACCATCATTACAACAATGGCACTCCGGACCTCAGCGTCCTTAGGAGGCAATCGCCGAACATTACATTGTCCGACATTCATTAAGTCGCCACGTCTAAAACATTGCATTTTGGTCGCCACGTGTACTTCATTGCATTTTGGTCATTCACACGTGTAGTACATTGCATTTTGTTCGCCACGTGTAATATATTGCATTTTTGTCGTGCAACAAGATTTTCAAAAGCTGTATGGGTGGCCAGCCATACTGGAATCGACCTCCAAAAAATTAGCAAAAATTACATTAGTTGCAGTATGGCTGGCCACCCATACAGCTTTTGAAAATCTTGTTGCACGACAGAATATTGCATATCATACCAAATACCTTGCCTGCTCTTGCAAGCCTGCCCGATGTACCTTGATATTTTTGAGAGCCCGGCAGGGCTCTATAGTCGAAAAATCCCCCACCATAACTGAACAACAAACTTTACTTATATATCCTTTGCCAATCTATCGTGGAATCGACTACGTCTTTTAAGCCGTAATGTCACAATACGAAGTCTAGAGTGCCCTAGAGTGCAGTAATAAGTCTGCAAATAAATAGACCCAATGCATTAAACAAGCACACCAACTGCAATGGAGGTCGTGCGCGAGGACTGCTATTAATTAATCCCGTACTTCGTCAATCCCCTAATTAGAAATATTGTAATTAGTAAATAATTGTGGTTAATATTTAATGATCATTTAATTGTTGCACAAGCTCTACCATCATCCAGACAAGGGTGCTCCAAAACCCAGCGTCCTTGGGACGCGATCTCGTTATTAATTAACGCATATTGCAATCATAATAGATTTAATGCTCACGTACATGGCTTTCACACAACTTTCGATGACAGCAAGATCCGACAATTGTACAACAGTGTTGTTCGTTATTACGAAGTCTTCTTGTGAGCCCACAGTAGAGCCTCTCTGCCTGTGGAGAGATCGGAGTTCTGGAAGGCGCAGGGCGGAAAGGTGCATGCACCGTTTGGGGGGCTGGAAGCGTTTGGTTGTGGTGCAAATATTTCTTAAAATGACGATGTCGTACGACACCCTTCGCCGGTCTGTGATCAGTGACCACTGATCACAGACCCATTGATCACAGGGCCATTTGCCAAAAAATTTGGAATCTAAAATTTTGTCAAATTTTACAGCAAGGACGATGTCGTACGACACCCTTCGCCGGTCTGTGATCAGTGACCACTGATCACAGACCCACTGATCACAGACCCACT